TTAAACAGTGCATTTCTTTAATGCCCCGCCCTTTTATTTTTTGAACGGGTCAACTCAAAAAATTGATATTTGGGATAATGAAATTAATGCACGAATACTTTATTTTGAAGTGAAATTGACAGATCAAACTTTCAATATGACGACTGGGCGCTATCTGGTAAAAAATTAAATGAAAAGAGGGGTCTTGTGACACATCTTTTTGAAGCTCCTGACAAATGCTTCACAACCCTAGAATATAATGTCAATATCCCAACTACTGCAAAATGGCGGAACTTTTATTAATTGCCTGAACTGCTTGAAGTCAGCTCAGAAGATGCTGGAAATGGTTGCCTTGAAGTTCTTGACATATGAACCCCCTATCCGATATTTCACGCCGAACATTTTCGAACACAGTAAGGTCAATAATTCTACAAATATTTATTATTCTCTGCCGTATATCCAATATTGAAGCAGACTCAGTTTCGTACACCTTTTGCTTCAAATGTGGCGAGCGGGATGGACATTCTGTAGGACTTCGACGGCCAATCCAACGATCCGGAAAAGTAGTATCCAAATAGTTTCTTACTTGTCTGGAGTAATGTGGTGGTGCTCCATCTTGTTGGAATACAATATCCATATTGAATTCATTAGGATTCCACCATATTCAAATACAGTTTCCCTCTTAAATTCTGATCAATAAATAGAGGTCCAACAATATAGTTTCCCAATATTCCTGCCCAAACATTATTTTTGTCTGGATATTGGTTATGTGTTTCCCAGTAGAAGGAGACACCTCACAAACATTCCCGACGGAATAAGTAGACTATTCAGGATTTACTACCATCTCACCAATTATTTGCACTTGCTGTTCTTCCGGAATGGACGGATGACCTGGGGGCTTTTTGTTATGTACACTCTGGTAGTTGTGATTTTGGATACAAGTTCCCTCAAATATTTTCTACAGATAGGACGATTCGGAAAACGTTCATTGAAAATCCTTTCGGTCTCGTGAAAGTTACGCGTCGCATCGTAAATAAAAGATATTGAATCAGTTGTGGG